ACCAAAAAAAAAAAAAAAAAAGAAAGAAAGAAAGAAAAACTTTGCTAATGGCTTGAAAAAGGAAGGAAAGACTTAAGCAAAACAGGTTCAGTTCCAAAAACATCAGCTGGCCATAGTGGCACACATCTGTAATCCCAGCACTTTGGGAGGCTGAGGCAAGAGGATCCCAAATTCTAATCTAGCCTAGACAACTTAGTGACTTAGTGAGATCCTGTCTCAAAATAGAAAATGGTGGGGGAGAAAGCTCAGGGTTCAATCCCCAGTACCACAAAAAATTTAAAAATAAATAAGGCCATACATTACTGCATTCCCACAAAGCACCTTCTTCAGTGTTAGCCAGTCTGACCCAGGTATTAAGCAAAGCAGAAAGCCTTGCCTCAAACCCAGCAGGGATGATTTTACATCTTGTCATCGCACAGCAAATTTCCCATCAAAAAAGTTTTTTCTCTTTTCCTCTCTCCCCGCTCTCTATTACTTTTCAGTGAGATTTCAATTAAGATCAGTTTTAACACAGAGGCTCAAAGGCAAATAACTCTCCAATAATGAGACAAAATGAAACTGCTGACAGACAGTAATAGAGAAAGAATGGGCAGTTCGGATTCACACACTGGCATTCAAAAAAGTACAGCAACTTTCTTTCAAGATATCTGCGATGAGGGGGACATCCTGCTTTCCAGTCTCAGAAACTAATTTCTGCCAACTCATTTTCAATCAGGCTGCATCTAAACACATCCCCGGATCTGGTCCACGGGAGGAAACCTCTGTGGTGAGATGATTTCTTTAGGGTAACACACAGGTTAAGAGAACAGACGTAGAATTCAAACATAAAATCTGGCTCTTCCCCTTCCCAGCAATACAGCACTGTACAAGTCACCTAATCTCTCCATTTCTCATCACCCGTAAAATGGCAAAACTAACTACACCTAACTCAGAGTTGTGATCAAGTGAGATCATCAAGTAAGAATATCCTCACTCGTCTTCAGAGTCTATAATTGTTTTGCCCAGTGGCTGCTATAGTGAACACTAATAAATGATAACTGTTTTACTCTCCTCTGCATGAGCAGCTAACGGCCAAAACCAAGAGGCTAACCATTTTTAAAGTCAATACTTTTCTCACTGAGACCTATCAGTTCCCATAATTGACCCAACAAATTAGTTTTGTGGAGCTCATTACAGAATAGACACAAAGCAAATTATAACAAAACAGAGTAAATTAAGCTTCCAAATGTATTAAATAATCCTGACATGAATACTAAGCTGTTCATATGGGGGATCTGATACTCTCTCTAAGCAACAACATGCCAACCACCGCTTTCTCTCAGCTCTAACCTCATACTCCCAGGACCTCTACGAAACATAAGGCATTTTGCTACGTTTCTAGTTCTTTTTTTTCCCCCTTCTTTTAAAATATTTATTTATTTATTTATGGTGCTGGGGATCAAACCTAGGGCCTTACACATGCTAGGAAATGCTCAATCACTAACTACACGCCCAGACCTTTTCTCTACTTTTTAGAAAGTTATACATTAAAGTATCTTAATTACACAAAATTATACAGCTCCCAAGCAGCCCATCTTCTAAATGTCACCTCTATCTAGAAGGTCTAAAATAAAGAAAAGAGGGGGAAAAAAGTTCTTTCCTCAAGTTATCAAGAGTAAGAATGCAAGTATAATCTATGCATGTAATAAAATTAACTGGGATTGGGCCAGGGATTTAGCTCAGTGGTTGTGCTGCCTGCTTCTCAACTGCAAGGACTCAAGTTCTATTCCCGGTACCAAAAAAAAAAGTGGGATTTAATTATTTGCATATTAGTTCTCTACCTTGCTCAACACAGGTTAGCTAGATATCTGTGTCCCTGACATTAGAATGGCTAGCACCAGCCTAGTAAAATATAACACAGGCAAACATACCATGTATCTCTATAGTAGTCAAATATCTTATTTATCCTAAGAATGTATTTGAATTTTACATGAATATCACATGGTCGAAGTCCTTCTAAACTGAAGACATTGAGAAACATATATCCAAAACAATATCATGAATATGCACTTTATATTATGCAACTTACCTGCAGTGGCTAAGGAGGAGCTCAGCAGGGCAAACACAGCAATCACATAATGGGACGTCATTTCTCCTTCTGCCACGGCAGGTCCCCTCCAGTCACTCTGCCAACAGTTCTTCAGATCACAGACAATCGGTGAAAATTAGAAGTGGCCTGAAATCCTCTTGGCAATTTTCAAATTTCCTGTAAAAATAAACAAATTCCAGTATAAAAACATAGTACAGAAACTTCTTTTCATAAATACACATTAAAGTTAAATGGAGAATTTCGGAAAAGCATAAGAGAAGAAATTTGTCTTGAAAAAATGCCAAAGCAGTACTCAACCAAACGAGGAAGAGGGTGGGGGTGGTAATTACCTAATAAAGATTTTTATAGCAAACACTTTTACTTATACTTGAGTTGTGGAGGTTTTGGGGTGTTGCTTTTAGGGGGTATTTTGTTTTGTTTTGTTTTGTTTCTGAGACCGGTCTCCCTATGTTACTACTAGACAGGTCTCAAACTCATGCGATCTTCCTGCCTCAACCTCTGGGCCCTCTAAGCCCACAACACCAAACCTGGTAAAATCTTTGGCTTTACATACTTTTCAGGACTACAGAAGAAAACTGAGGTGCACCTGCAACCTCACCAGCGATACTGTGGTACTGAAGTAATCGATGATATCCCAAATACACATTCCCTAGTGCCAGGAAGCAAACAGAAATAGCTGATTACAGACTCAAGTTAATGTTATAATGACAGAGTTATCACAGTGATCAAATTAAATTACACTGAGAATCAATCTAAAGAAAACAAAGAACCATAAAAAAGGAAAAGCTTTTATTTCAACTGCTGGCTGACATTATAACAGGGGAAAAGTCTCTCTCAGCCCCATCGGAGACTCTCAGTGCTAGGGTAGATGATCTAGAAGGCCTTTTTAACCTTTTTTTACCCAGAGTCTTGAATGACAGTTTGGTGATGGTCTGCTTAACTAGAATATCCTTCCCACAGCCCAAACAGTTACTTCATAGAAATATCCCAAAATATATTTTTCAGCCCTACAACCCTAAGCCTGAAGTTGTTCAGTTCAACAAATATTTACTGAGCACCTAGTATTATATAGGTGTGGTTCCTTCTCATCAGCAATAAAAGTCCAACAAATGGATAAAAGGTTCAAAGACCCTGTCTGACCTAAGCTGGACAAAACCAGATGGTGGAATTTCTGGGAACCTAAATGGACTGATATGAACAAGCCTCTCTAAAAGAATATGCTATTTTGGCAAATGAGTAATTTTTTTTTTTTTTTAAGGAAAACCCTAGAAGATCTCAGGAGAAGATGGCTTCCTAGAGTATTTTTATGGGGCACATAAACCATAGGCAGCAGGAGGCTTGTGAGAATATTTAACAAGCTTATATCACCCCTGCCCACAGATGGGTCTGAGGGTCTGTGGGGCTCCGGCCTCATTAATCCAGGGGCTTAAACCAGGTCTGAACAAACCTGTGGAAAGAAAAGGCAAATGGTTCTATTAAAAAATATAGACTGCAAAATGCTGACAAGAATATTGGGCAATTATTAAAATACAGCAATTACAGATATAATAGAGCCAAGCTAAACAGTTTGATGCCCAAAGGCAAACCGCAGCGAGTTTACACCGGATCTTAAAACATCTCTGAGGAAGTCCAAGACAAGTTGAAACTACACACCGCTGTTTCTAACAAAGAGAGAGCTTTTCTTCTTTTAGCTTAAAAGTCCTTCCCTCATGTAACTTGTTCAAAAAGAAAATAAACTGCAGAGGATTTTTATCTAATGTCCCTAGTGCGGTGACAGGATCCTAAAGCAGAGGAGAATATAAAGGGAAGTGTGTGGTTCCCACTCGGCTGAACTCCAGTTCAAGACCTGGCCACCGCTTAAGGATGGGTTCCCTATTTCAAAGAATGCTGGATGACAGCAGGCTTCCAAATAGTTGTAGCTTTGAAATAAACCAAGGGAGACACAAAGTCCCTTCTTCTGTGAGGTTCTATCACGCTTATTTTGCACAGACCAAGGACACTCGGCCTTGGCCTTTTGACCTCACTAAATGTCTTTGGACTTCATGAACCAAATGCTTCCTTTCAAAATACACACATGTCCTGTGGGATGCTGAAAGCACAATTTTGTGTCTATATATTTCAAGGCAATGTGTTCCACTCAAAGGGTATGAAACATTCAGTAATCACAAACTGAGAGAAGAAAATTTTGAGAGAGAGAGAGAGAATTATGGATTACAAAGAATGTGTTAGTAATTCTGCTACTTTCAGAGTTGGCCTGGATTTACTTCTGAAGCCATCAAATGGAACACGCTGCCCTTCATGCTCAGGTGATCCAAAAGAGCACCCAGGTAAAGACCGGGATTAGCTAGAAAAACCCTACTTAAATGGATCCTAACACTATCATGGGTTTAAACCAATGTCCAAGAGGAATTGGTTGGGAGCAATATTCCGTAGGTTGAATTTTTTTGGTTTTGTTTTTTTAAAGAGTAAATCTTACTCTGAGAAGAAAAATTATGGCAAAATGGATGTCTGGTGGTGGACTAAGAGCCAGTAAGAAAAACTACTATCCCTCACAGGCCTCTACACATGAAATTATTCAAATCAGGACTAAGTTTAAAAATTATCATGCTAAAGGTATATGAATAGCTTTTAAAAATGGAAGATGTCAGCATGATATTAGTGGCAATGAAAAGCCTCAAATCCCAAGACCTACACTGCCCTAATGGCAGGTGAAGGTTTAAAAGGTCTCTTTCCATGGCTACCACTCCACCTCCCAGGTTCGGTTCTGTCCAAACTAGTAAGCATTCTCTCTCAACAGTTACTCTCTGAAAACAGAACTTGTTTTCTAAGAAGGGGCAGCCTGCATGGCTACTATCAAACATAGCCGTGCCTACTGCACAGATCATTATTGGTCACAACTGTCATTTTACTGCAGGACTACGGATGTTAGCTATGAAAAATAAACAATCCAGGCCAGGGATCTAAGCTCAGTGGCACTTCACCTGCCTCACAAGCTCAAGGTACTGAGTTCGATCCCTGGTACCAAAAGAAATTTTTTTAATAAAAATAAACAATTCTTGGTAGTAGTGAACTCAAAGTTGTTTAAAAATTCAAAAGACAAAATGAAGCACAAACCCCTATACTCTCATATCCTAATAGGGTACTGACATGGTTTTGTCCCCAGTTGGGAAGGAAAATCGGGGATTTAACAATTCTGAGGATCTTAAGGACAGACATACTGAATAGGATTTTTTAAACTGCCATCACCTGAACTCACATAGTAACAGCTACACTTCTGGTAGTTTAAATGTAAAATGATTTCTGAAGATTATTAAAATATTTCTAATGTGCCACTTAAGGGCATTGTTTAGAGAAATGTACAGTTGAGTTTGCAAATGGTGAAGTAAAAGTTGGTAGAGGAATAGTTCTGATGGTCATTCAACATGTTATTCAGGGAATTCAGAAAAGAGGCAATGTAGATGACACCAACATATCTTAAAAAGGGGTGTGTGAGATGTAAAGTTGACACTGTTGTTTGATATTTGGATAGTCTTTTAAGATCTGTACGCAAAGACAGTGAAGTTACCTTTATTAAGTCACAGCAGCAACTCCCAGATTTCTCTACCTCACAGGGAAAGTGGACAATTCCCAATCCCTATATTCAGACAGATTTGACACAGATAAAGAAAAAGTCCTGGATTTGGTTGAGAAATCTCTGAAATCATATCCAAGTACAAGAGATACCCAACAAATATTTACTACTACCTACTACTACTACTACTACTACTACTACTACTATGCCAGGCACTGATCAAGAAGGAAATAATACAGCAATGAAAAAAGGAGCCAAATCCCACCCTCATAGAGTTTATTAGAGAGACAGAGAGAGAGGAGAGGAGAGGAGAGGAGAGAGAGAGAGAGAGAGAGAGAGAGAGAGCGCATCATTCTAGGGGAGACATTTAAGTTCCTGGACTTCATTTTTTCTCTGGACAAATCTTTACTTATTGCTTACTCTGTGCTAGGCAATGGAGATAATAAAGGCCAAGCAGAGACATGTTCTTTGCCCTTATGGGCTTCAAGTCTGGCAAAAAAAAGCAAACATTCACAAATACATAACCACACATTATATGATAAGAGCTCTAAAGGAAAATCATCCACAGGTGATGAAAGACATTTCAAGGAGAGGCACACTGCAAGTCCTTGACACAGAGAGAACAAGGCTGTACAACGGAGAGAAAGAGAAAAGGAGTAAGGTGCACAGGCTGCAATCAGAGTGGGTTTTAATATCTCCCTGGATGCTGTACAGACTGAAGGTAGCCCACAGTGTTTGAGAAAAGATCAGTTGAAGTTTACAGAGGGGCAGACAAGAAAGGATGAATGTTGAGGTCAGAATGGACCTCAGTTTCTTCGTTTGTAAGGAACAATAATATTGCACTTACCTAGGTCACCAAGTTGTTGCAAGAACTGAATGAAATAGTGCATGCATGGTATAAAAGCCCTCATTATTTATCATTAGCAGGCCATATTTACCAAAAAGATTTATTATCCTGAGACCTATGATTAAGTAGTCTTAGCATGCTGTGGCTGCCAGTCGCAGGAAATGAAAAGCAGAAGATCACTACTGAACTCCCGTGCTAGTGGGCAGCAATTCCAGTGAAGACCAGAGGGCAGGGAACATAGAGGGTACAGGTGAGCAGAGGCTGAGCCCACTCTCCACGCTCCCTCCTGCTGCCTTCATGGGGTGGGGGCTGCCCCTCCTGGCCCTGCAGCCCTTACTTCCACCTGAGTGCATCGAAGTCTGGCCCTGGAATCCTCAGTTTCCTTGGTTAGAACCTCAGTGGGTCTTTAAAGGACCAGACACAACAGGCCTCACTCCCAAGCAAAACACACCAAAATGGAAAAAGTGGATACATTTCACAAGGTTGTGAAAGATGTGTTTAGTTTGAACTGACAAATGGATTTTTCTCCCACCTTGCAGTACTCTGAGAGCTATCTTTTCACATTTAAGATTTTTGCATCCAAAGATTTCTCCTGCTTATCATTTACGGGGGCATATTCTTTGAAGCTAGAATTAAGAGAGAACTATAGTTGGAAGTTTATATCCCAACATACCCAGCTGTGTTACACTGTACAAGCCACTTAGCTCCCATCATCCTCTCATCCATAAAATGATAACA